AATGCTACTACACAGAACTCAGAATTTAAATAGTAATTGCAAAAGAGTGTAGGAATGAGAATGATTGTTTGCAAAGTACAGTAGAACAATATGGTAAATATTTAAATTTTAAAACATTTATTACAGTGAAAGATACTTTGCCATTAACCCCATCAAAATATATCCCCTTGGTTAGAAGGCACCTATTTCTTCATTTTTGCTGCTTTCTGAAGAAGTCCTGGAGTTCCTCTTTCCTGAATGTCTTTTTAACTGTCTAGGCTATCTCAACATTCTGTCACTCTTTCCCCTGAGGCTCTTCAACTTTTACATTAGAAGCCTAATGTAATACCTTCGATGATCATTTTTGACTTTGGGAAAGAGACAGAAGTTGTGCAGTGCCAGATCCAGTAAATAAGGAGAATAAGGACACACCATAAATATTTTCATGACACTGCCTTTCCATTGATGGCACATAAAGACAGTCATAAAGGAAAACTTTCAGAACGGCTTCAGATCGTAGTAAGAACAATGAAATAAGTGTGTTTGAAACATAGGAGAGAACTTTGAGGGGATGAATGGCAGTCTGTCTTTTACTATAATAATTTTTAGTAAGCATTAGCCGTATATTTTGATCACCCATTGTATCTTATACATGATTTTTTTTTCTTTTCAAAGAATTCACAATGGGTGTTTTCTAAAGAATCCTGAGTTCCCTAACATTTTTGCATATTTTTAGCTTATTTGTTTGTTTTGTATAACTTCTTACAACTTTCTAAATTATGCATTAAACACATCTTTGATTTTTCCAGCTACTTCTAAAATACACAAAGTTATCAAGATATCATTATGTAAAGAAGATTCCCATTCTACTTGGCTTTGTATATACTGTTTCTGTTTAATTCTGCCTATTAGCTATCTGCATACTTTATACTCTTAAACTCAAATAATTTTAACTCATCTTTTGATACACAAGTATCATCTCTCTGTGACTTATTAGGCTGCGATTTATCTCTGCTGTGATAAACTTGGGTTCCACATTCTGATTTAGCCACCCCTTACTCCGAGTGTCCATAACTGTTTCATTAGCAATCTAATACAAACTTATCACTTTCTTTTAAACAGTTTTCCCGTCATGAGATTATACGTTCCTAGAGGACAGGGATCATGCTCAAAATCATAAATTATGTGTAAGATTCTCTCTTCTCACATTTCTTGCTGTTTCATGAACAATTTGAAAATGTATAGTGAAGTACCATTTCCCAAGGCAATTCCAGTACATGTCTTAGAGACCAGGGAAAGATATGTGAAACTCATTTGATATTTCTTTACATTACCTGCTTTCTCAATGCAATTAGAGTAGAAATAATGTAAATAGAAAACAAGTTAAATTCTAGTTCTGATTTTCTTAATTCTGTGTGTTCATGAACAAGTCTCTTAAAATCTCAGTGCCTGTGCTGTCTCATCTAAATGTAGAAAATATATGACTTACTCACATTGTTTTGAATTTTATTATCAAAAAATCCTAAGACAGAATGGGTAAAACGTATTTTGAAAATATGATCTCACTATGATTGGCTAAAACCCACTGAATCATGAGAGTCTTAGCCAATCATAGTGAGATCGTATTTTCTGAGATACATTTTACCTATTAGCATGGTAAAAAACAGTTCAAGTAGAACCAAGGAGCTGTGTTCTAGATGAGACTAATCCACTCTTTAATGCGTGAAACTCTCAAGCCCACACTTTAAGGATGCCCATACTTCAACTCTTTAAGGAAGAGAACTATTTGTTGTGTATTCCTGTTTCCTCCTCAGCATGCTTGAACAAAATTAGGTACAATATTTACTAGTATAATATACATATATTTTATAGAGAGAATAAAAATATTATTTATAGTATTTAATTATGTTAATCTAAAGATCAAAGATGTATAATTGGGAGCTCTAGTTTATTGTTTATAATTCTGAATATAATATTCAAGAAAAATACAAAGTTTTAACAATAGACTTATTTTCTTCCTAATAGTGAGTGGGGGAACTCTGCTTTGTTGGGGTTTTTTTTCCCCAAAGAATTATTCATAATGCATTAGAGTTGGATAAAACGTGTCAGAACTCTATAGTTTGTTGCACCTTATGATCAAGTGCAAATTATTTTACTGGGTCTCAGATTTTCAATCTGTAAAATGGAGGTACTTTGACTTAGATTTGAGTGAGGAATAAATTTAGGCATGAAATACATGTAGCCCATAGCTCCCTTTATTGGGTGCTTTTTAAAGGTTCACTTCTTTCATGTTTCCTCCATGTGATTACCAGTACACTCATGCCCTAATAGGTATTCAATAAACTTGACTAGTTTGTTATTTCTGAAAAAGTATGTTTATTTGCCCATATGTTTTAAATCTTATGTGTATTCCCATTTCAGTAAAATTACAAAGTTTAAATTTTTCTATGTACTAGTAAAACATAGATTTTTTAAAATACATGATTTTTCAGTAAGCATAGATCACTGAGCTTTGTTCTTTCAAAAGTTGTGGTCACAGTGAAATCAGTTTTTTGTCCACACTCAAGGCTGACTCATATCTGCCTTTCAAAACTAAAAACATGGGAGACTGAAGCATCATCCTTCAGTTCTGTGGAAGAGGGTCCTCTCCATAAATCTCTAAAGTGAACTTGGATAATCCCTGGAATTTCTCTTATTGATTCAGATCTTCAGCAATATGAAGACTGACTTAAAAACATTTTTGCTTTATTGGAAAGCAAACATTTAACCTTTGAGAAAGATTAATATTGAGATTGGTGCTTGAATATTTACATAGTGATAACAAAAGATGAATCATCCACAGGGGGAGTCCAAGATCAAGATGCAATTCCATCACTGTGATTCCAAAAACTTGGCCCTAAGGACCAGTATTTTCCAGGTGTTAAATTACAGTATAAATAATGCTCTCTGGGTTAAGAGTCAAGTGTATCTTTACATGATCAGTACAGCTAATTTATTGACACTTTATTCTTAACCTTCTCTATAGGTAAAATGGCTACTCCAGGCTTTATCCCACTGGAAAAGTTTTGTTCAAGTATTTAATTATAAGTTGTCTTTGTTCTAACAAAATGTGGGTGAAACCAATTCAGACCACTCCTCTAGCCACTGAGTTATGTTGAAAATTTCTAGTTATTAGAATGGAAATAATGAAAAGCTAGTACCAATACTACTGAGGGGAAGTCAAAATAAGATATGTATGTATATATATGTATAATATTACTGTTTGAATATGGTAGTACCACAGTATATTGCTGGAGGATGTTCTAATATAACATCTCCATGCTCCAATTTCTGGGTTGATAGAATAAAACGAGGCATGCTAAAAACTAGTCACTCTATTCCTACACCCCCACATCCTGGGGAAATAGGGAAACACCAAGCCAGCAAGAAAAGGGAATACAGGGCCCTGGCCCACGGCTGCAACTCTTTCCCTTCACGGGACACTGGGGGCAGGTTCTGTTACTGGGCCTCCCGCCTTTTTCCTTAAATCTCCTCTTTATTCTTCTCAGATTTTATTCTCATATTGCTTCTCTCTCATTGTGTGTGTTTGACTAACCATATTCTTGTAAAGCGTAGCTTTATCTATTTAGATTATTTTCTTTTGTTTTTCCCCTTTTCTTCCTTCCTCTCTAGACTCTCACCTATTTTAATTCTTTCCCTCTCATGCCATTATATTTAAAGAAAAACATTTTTTTTAAAGAACTCATTCACACAGTTACACAAGTTTTCTCATGTTTCCTTCCTAGAAAACTGACTTTTCTCACTTAGAGAAATACTTAGCTATTGATTACATCCAGATCTACCTACTTTTTTCCTCTTTTTATGGTATGTTTTTGTGTAGAGGGGAACATTGGTTGCTTAGTTTTACGTTGCTTGCCACTTGCTTTCTTACCTCTTCATCTTCAATGTCTACCAAAGTCATTATCCCTTCTCACTTTCTTTCATGTTTCACATTTTTTTTTCCTTTGTGGAACCATCACCTAAAATATTAGCTATTTGATTTCTTCTGCCAAGAATATTGTCAACTTCTGCCCTTTTAGTCAAGCACCAAATTATTGGATTCCTTTGATACTATTTATATAGACTAATTCTACAATTGTTTCTGTCTTTTGGCCTCTCCAAACATATATCCTCAGTGGAGATCTTTTTATCTTTGTATTCAAAACTCTCTGTAGTTCTTTATGTTCTAGTGATATCCACAAGCCAAAACCATTCCACATTTTTCTCATCTCAAGCATTACTCTATAGTTCTTTTTATAATTTGCTATATTTGGATTTTAAACTCCAGGAGAAAACAAATCACGGACAATATCACGTGTCACAAAATCATTACCATACCACATTTATTTTTAGTGTGGCTTTTTCCCCCCTTTAATTTAGTTAACCACAAAGCTTGGTTTGATCACCCTGCATGCAGTAATCACCGTGGCATGAGTCCCATGCTGAATGCTGTTCTGTGAACCACTGTCACTTTCAGAAAACAACTTTCCTCTTGGCATTCAAAATGCATACATGCTATGTCAGACACAGACAAGGAAAAAGAAACAGGAAGCTCCTAATCACAGAAACAAACAAAACAACCAACACTGAGAATCCTCTGTGTGTGTATTATTTATAGCACATCTCTTTTTTGTATGAATACTTTTAAGAAGAGCACATTTTTCTCATACAATGTGTTTAATGAATATTATGATTATTTTTCAAACCCATATAAATTAAACAAAGAGCAAATATTACCCAGTATGAGATAGAAAAGAAAATTGTCCTCTTAGAGTACTATATATCACGAACTGCTATCTGAATTTTCCTGACTCACCAGCATTCCTTTAACAGTCTTTATACTTTCAAACATCCTGCCAGACACTCTGTATTTAACTGCCGCGCAAGCCACTGATAGCATCAGTATTATCAGGTTTTTTCCCCACTCTATCGAGTTGCCTCTAAAGAGGCCCTCTTTCCCCGCATTTGGTGTTGAAACTTACCGCTTTTACCAACTCCCCCTGCTCCCAGCATTACCACCTTGTACTCTCTGGACCCGCCTGATGCGCTGCCTAGGGAGCAGCTGGCTTCATTTTCTACCTCCATTTTACCCGAAAGACCGGAGGAGAAAAAAGAAGAAAAAAGTCACCCGTGTCAGGTGCTTGCTCAGATATTAAACAACTCTAAAACTGTGTCAAAGGGAAGGTTTAGTGTGAGGTAAGAACCGGCAGCGTCGGGCTGGCTGCTGGTCCTCTGCTGGAGCGGGTCTCATAGCAACCACTTCAATTGCTTCCAATAAAAATCTGGCTTTTACACCCCCCCTCTTCTTCTGATCCTTCACTCTTTCACGTCTCCCACGATCTCTTTCTCTGGCTTGCTCTGTGTGCATTTCTTTCTTCCCTCTTCTGCTTCTCCATTTCCCTTCCTCATTTTCTTTCTGTCTTCTTCCTCTTTCCTCCCCATCCCTGCACGGTGTTGTTGTTTGACGCACACACGTTTAATCACTTTCCAGGCTGGGCTGCTAGAATAGAGCGGATCAGAGACTTATTGGACGACGCTGTCTCACAGGCTGACTTCTTTAGCTATAGTTTCACACACAGTTTCTTTTTTTTATTTTTTGTTTTGAGCCAATTAATTATGTAGAATTTCTTCTGCTTGTTTCCTTGTATTTTATCAATAGCCTCTTGTACAGTTTTAATTCTGGGAAAAGGGATGCCACACTTCTACAGAGAAAGGCAAACATTAAAAACATAACAAAACAGTAACTGAGGGCATTTAAGGGTGAGCCTTTTTTGTCACTGAAATAATACCTGGCTGACAGGAATTGGTTCTGCTCTCTGGAGAGTTGCAGTTCTAACGTTGGAAGTAATTGAATTAGGTCATTGTCATGCGTGAACATGGACCATCCTTGTCTTGTTTACACTAAGTTATTAGCAACAAACCAGAACATAAGGACACTGTCAAATAGGAAAGAGATACATGATAAATATTTTTGCTGACAATTATAGAAGCATAAAACGCCACAAAAGACTATTTTTCAAATATCTAAAATCCTGCTCCTGTTTTGAATTCTTCTGAAGCTTTGGGGTCTTTACTTTTCTCTAAAGAACTTCTGAAACTTAAAGGTTTTAGGATATTTTCTGTAATCCTTAACTGCTGAAATCCCATACTGTCCTTCAATCAAAATGACAGTCTATATGTTTATTATTTGTTTCCTGATGATCAAACTTTGAATCATGATTAAATGTAGTTGTTTTGCATACACATACTATCAAGATTTAAGGCTTTTCTACAAAAGGAAGTATGTTTAATTAGTTCCTTATTACTCTATAGTCTAGAACCAAGTGCCAGTTACAGATTAGGTATTTTATACATTCTTGCTGATCATTGGAACAGCTGAAGTTGTCAAAGCCAAAGGGACAGGCTCTGAGGCTGTATTGTGTTAAAACTGAGCTTAGCTGCATATCCTTACATTTTTTTGTGCCTCAATTTTTGTAACAATAAAATTATTTATGAAAAACTTGCTTATTAACTCACTGAGTTAGATAATATTTATACAATGCTTAAAACATCATCTACCAAATTGCAAGCACTACATAGTTGTATGGCATTATGATTAATTTATTATTATTTTGAGGCAATAGTGCAGCTAGTCTGCATTAAAAAATATTGACCAGAGAAGAGTTTTCCATGTGCTTATTTGCACACGGTATGTCTTCTTTGCTGGTGTGTCTGTTCAAATACATATGTTTATTTTCACATCACAAATTTCATTTTTTTAAGTATCAAGTTTTGAGAATTCTTTATGTGATCTAGATATGTGTGTATTGTATAATTATTTTGCAAATACTTTTTCCCAGTCTGTGGCTTTTCTTCAAGAATCTTTCAAAGAACATAAGTTTTCAATTTTAATGTAATATAATGTATAATATTTTTCTTTATGAATCTTCCATCAGGCACTAAATAATTTTTTTCTAATGATCATATCAATTTTTCTTTTCACTTTCTTCACCCTTTCATTGCATATTTAGTCATAGATACAATTCTATTCATCACATTTTCATAGATAAATCTCTACTTTGTAATTTGACTTAATTTTCCACTTGGGCTACCGAAGGGAATCTGACTTCCTCCTGGATATTTCCCTCAAAACCTTATTTGTGTCTTTACCTGAGTAGGTCTAGAAAGATATCACTCTCATCCTCGATAAGTGAAGTCCACACTTTCCTCAATCTGCAGACGCATTCCCCATCTTTTGAGTCCTAGTTTTGGTTCCACTCCTTATATTTGATCTTCATTACTGAAACAGTGCCGTAATTTATACCCCCTCAGTACAAGCTCCTGCTCTCTCTCTCCTTCAGACAGCTCAATTTGTCCTGCACACAAATGTCAGGGAAATCCACCAAAAATGTCAACCTTCCTGACCCTGATGCACACACATTTATATATCAAATGCCTAAGTAATACAAGCCAATAACCTGTAATGTCACATACAGACATAAAGCATTTTTTTCCTGTTTTGTATTCCAATGTAACATTCACATGCCACTGAGAAGCAGGCAAATTGAGCTATTTGTCTTTCTCCCAACAAAACTATAACTTCTAGGATTGGATCTCATAAAGAACTGAGGCTAGATTACAATTATTCTATAATTTTTGAATGAAATTTCATTGTTTGACAAATGAGATGCCTAAACAATAGAATTTAGCTTCAAGGTTGTCCTAGGTCTTGTTTCTATTTCTGTTGCTGAAATTTATATGACCTTGAGCAAATTGTGTGCCTCTTTAGCTACCATCTGTTACTCTTTTTCATGTCAGCCGTTCTGATTTGGCAGCATGGCAGTTGTCATAACAGCTGTGTCTTTGGTCATAGTCTTCATTGAGGGTATGATTATATTGATGTTGGATAGGCTAAAGAGATGCATAGAATTGTCTCTTCATGGTAAGTAAAGTAATGGTTTTCCAAGTATCGATGGGCGCTGTGAGGGAAAACTTAGCTAGTAAATTAACTTTCTTCTCAGTTGTTAATGTATCTGTTCATATTCTTTATTTGGAAGTCAGGACAATATTTTCCTATTGGGTGAAAGGAGAGAAGGATGGAAGGAAGGAAGGGAGGGAGGAAGGGAAAATGAAACGTAGGGAGAACTTTCTAGCTATAGCTATCTTCACCTACCCTTTCTCTGAAATCCTAAATTCCGCTATATGTCACCTGATTTCCTTCCCCTAAATTAATAAGGTCCATAAAATCTAAAGTTCGAAGTGTTGTAATGATACAGGTTTTTATTTGTATTTAGTGACTTTAGTGAGTTTACCTGTCTTATGCCTTGACTGGTGCACTCAAGAATCTGTAGTGTGTGTGTGTCTGTGTCATAGCATCGCTTGTGTATGTACAGGGTATAGTGAGCAGATGTCTCCCAGAGGTGTAAATCCTGATTAAATTGAAACCATTAGGTCACTAAAATCATTGTCTGACAGGTTGCTTTGTGCTTGGGGAAATTATCAAATAAATGGAGTCTGCATTTTCTTCCTCTAATCTTCCTCTGACAGTTGCCATCTTTTTGGATGGCATTTCATCCTTTTGAGTGCTCATTTCCATCAGATGAAGTCCCAGGTGCTCTGTGTTCAGTCAGAGCTACTTTACTTTGTGAGCCTGTCCTCATCTCAGCATGGTGCTGCTCACCTCTCCAGTAGTAGAAGACAAAGATGGAAAGTAATTTAACAAGCAGTTTCTCCAAAGGATTATATTAGCTTCAGTTCTTTATATGCATCGGTTCCTAAACCATAGGTACTACTAAGGGATCCAGTCACTGGGATAGGTTTGCAGGAGAGAAGTTTGAAACACTGAGAATTCTTTTTAAACTCTCTAGTCATTGTAAATAGAGTTCTTCATACACTTGGCTGCAGTTTGTCTTTTCTATATTTCAGTCCACCTTATGGAGAAGTTGTGGCCTCTTTTGTATTCATCTTTAATTCCCCAGTGGTTAGCATTTTCAAAGAATGCAATTTCAATAAATAGAAATTTAAAGATCTAGCTGGCTTTTACTAATAATTCATGAGCTAGGAAGCATCTAATTTTGAAAATAGACAGGAACGCCAGTGTGGTGGCAGGACTGTGAGATTTTGCAAAGTAGCTTAAGCAGGAACAAAGAAATAGCATGGTGCAAAAAGCAGATTATTGGACATAAAGTTCCTTTAAGTAATTTTATTTGCATTGGTTAATGCAGAAGGAACTTCTTTGTGATGCTGTCTCAGAATAACTGGGCCCATTTTGATTGGTTGTTCGTGGTTCTTCTATATTTTCAGAGACACTGCTGTTTAAATATTTAACCATGTATCCCTCTCCTAATTTCCTGAAAGTTTAGCTCTTACAAACAAATTGCTTAAATTTTGGTTTAGTGATAGGGAATCATTATAAGCTACTCTGTTTTTATGTTTATTTCTTTTTTCTTTTCTTTTTTTTTTTTTGGATATAAGGTCTTGCCACATAGCCCAGGATACCCTGAAACTTCCTGCTTCAGCCTCTTGAGTACTGAGATTATAAAGGTGAATGACCATGCCCACCTAGAGTAACTCCATTTGAATTGATGCATTGAGGCCCATTGTAAGACCTCAGTCTAAATCAATGGCTTAACATAAATTCTACTAACAGCACAATGCCTGGCATGTGCTAGGTGAGTAGGATATTTTTGTTACAGGAAAGAAACCCATAAACTGATTGACTGTATATTGATACTCTTAATTAAATTAATTTTCAAGTGTATCATTTTCTATTATACCTTAATGAAAAAATAAATCAGAGATGGAAGAGAATTAGTTACTTGCTTGATAACTGCTGCATAAATAAAATATTAGCCATGCCCATTCTCACCATAAAGTGGAAATCCAATGTAAATGAGAAGACAACAAAAAAGCACATTGAAAACTTCAAAACTAAAGAATGAAGGAGAAAAAGGGTAATTGTGAAAATAAGAGGCAAGATTTCATTTGCAAAACACAGACTTCAGACTCATACTCACAGACTAAGAAACTTACATAGAGTCCAAAGTTGCTATAAATACTTTAGTATGTGAAATCATTTAACTTCCATCCCAAAGTCTTATTAAGTGTGAAAGACCTGTCAAAAAGGATCTTATTATGTAAGAAATACCTGTCTTCATTGCTGTATTTATCCAACATGAATTAATTTGCTGACTCTAATTTTCCTTACAACTGTGTCAGCCTTCTTGCAGAAATAAAGGAAATCACAGTATATTTCATGAGTTGTAAAGTTT